TGTAAATCGAATTTTAACTTGTACGTATATTAAAAGCCGGTCATACCTCAATTTAGGATACTCAACATTTTGATTGCAAGCATTACACAGTTTAGGATACTCCATATTTTTCTTACAATACAGGGCCTTGGATGTCGACTACTGACAACATTTAAGAATACTCCTTGGATGTCGACTACTGACAGCATTGATAGTGGTAGCTAATATTCTAAATGTAGATAGAATTTGCTTCTAAACTTCTTGATTATGGGAGCAAGGAATTGATGTATTCTGCAAAGCACTTTCATGGCGCTATTTATGAAGCATAGACTATAAGTGTATATAGCCAATAGTTGCCGGAAGTTCATGTTGTTTAAGTGATCAGGTTCTTGACCTCTCTTCTATTTAAACTATGTTAGTAAGACATAAGGTTGGGTACTTTTTAAAAAACCTTGTGAAACCATTCTCAAGTGGATGAATATTCTCAAGTGGATTAAATAAGTAAACGGCCAAAGTCTTTTAATTAACTAATGAATTTGCAGATATATCTAATAGATATATTTAACTCTCTTGTATTTATATCGCATTACTTTCCAGTGCCTTTTGTTTTTGGTTGTTTTCCTAAAGGCAAATTAACAAACATCTTAGCATATGATCACAAAAATCAATTAACAAACATGTTAGCAAGAATTCTACAAAAATAATGATGAAAGTACTTGTTTAAATCCTATGTCTTCATACAAAGCAAACAAAAAAAATTCAAGATATGTTACTAAACTCTTACAATTGAAGATCAACATGCCTTTTTAAAAAAAATGTATTAAAAGAAGATGTACCTGATAATCAAGAGGAGTGGAAACCAAAAATCGATGCTTTAATGTGCTAACCGCTTGCATTGAAAATACCTAACCATGAATTTGATGCTTGAAATCAATATATTAGAGGCTATATGTAGTGTAGGCATAAGAAATAAGAATTGATAAGGATATAAAGAGATATTGATAAGAACATTAAAAGTAGGTTTATCTTGATTTAAGTTGCTTAAAGTACATAACTTTGGATAGGAAATAAGAATCTTATAATATTAAGAATTTTTATAGGAAATAAGAATTGATATAAATCCAAACAAAAAGGAGCAAGCCATGTAGAAAACTACTTAACGTCTCGTTAAGCCACGTAGGAAAGAGAAAACATGAAGGGATAAGAATGAGGATACGACTTTTATATATATATATATGATTATAGCTATTTGAAACCGAATGGATCATAACAATTCAAATTTGAAGCATGGGGAATTAAAAGTGCAAAATCAAAGTAGTTAACTAACGACAATTTAACTTTAACCATTAGTCATTGTTAATTTCCTATCAATTGTCCTAAATGTGCCTAAGATTTGAAATTTTGGGGACCATTTTTTTTTTGTCAAAACATTAGAGACTAGTTTGACATATAGAGGAGGAGCGGAGGGGCCACTGTCCCTCCAAGTTTTTGAAAATTAGAAGTTCCTCCTTCAAAAGATTAAAAATTGTTATACATTTTTTAGCAAATTTAAACACTTTCTTTGCCAAGCACTTAGAAATCATATAATTTCATACACTCAAATTTAGATATGTTAAAGTTTGCCCGCCTCCTCAAAGTAAATTTTTTAGTTTCATCAATTTATTGTATGTGAGATACGATAGTGATTAGAGAATGTGTTTGAAATTTTTAAAATCATGTTTTGAAAAGCAACTCTATATATCCAACCTTGGCGCTGTTTAGATTGTAGTTTTTATGAGAAAACTTTTTACTTTTTCCATGAATGTTTCTTTTACACATTTTTTAATAACTTTTTTTTATCTTACGTACATTATATTTTAACAAAGCACTACAATAATTGTTTTTCCAAAAACTCTTGAAAAATTGCAATCCAAATAATCTTGCTTATCTCTGTCATATATGTACCATATGCATTAATTTTGATGCATTTTAAAGGAAATTAGAATAAGTAACGTATTTCTGCAGTGTTTTTATAATTTTTTATAGCTATGCATTCTTCTATCAATATAATTTAACAAATAAACAGTGATCTTTGAAATCGAGAAGCCGCGATTTTGGTTAAAGTCGTTTTCAAGAGAAAAGGTGACCTTATATATTTTGTATAAAAAAAATTGGATTAGTTTGTAATGAAACATATAAATGTACCATTGTGAGTCAAATGTAGAAATAAAACAAGAAATGTACAATGAGTCTTAAAGATCCCCCTAGTTAGGGTATGGCGGCCAAAAGGTCCTGGCCAACCAGGTTCGAGTCCTGCATGCAAATGCTCGGAGTGGAGTGGGGCCTTCTCTCCCAGGCTGCAGGGAATTAGTCGGGTCATTAGGTATTACCAGTCTGAAAATTCGGATACCGCTATGTGGAAAAAAAAAGTCTTAAAGAATGTACAAAAGGGACATGGAAATAAAGTGATAAAATAGACTCATAAACAATGAATCTGCGGATGGATTCGGCTTGAATAAAGCGGGATTCAAGCCGCGGATTGTGTCCGGAAACTTCTAAAGTTCAAGCCTGCTCTCAGCACTGGATCTGCAGATGGATCCGCGGCAGAGAACAGTGGATCCGTCCGTGAATCATGGCAACATTCAAAAACTTCTAAATTTTGTTTGGCATTTTTTTCATGTGTAATTTGGGTTACTTTGATCCAAAAAGATGCCTAAACTTTTGTGCAAGAATACGAACGTTTTTTTTGCATCTTTTGGTAACATATAGTTTTCTATATGATAACACGTATCATAAAAAAATTAAAAAAGCTAGAAAACTAACTTTCGCCATTGATCATTCTTATGAAGAAAACTTGACATTTGCAATCAAGTTTTAGTCTAAATCTTATTATATTCTAGAGGTAATTTGTCACAATCATGTAGCAAATATTTTGTGCAGTGAGGGCAAATAACATCTTAAGAACAGTGTCTAACACGCTTCAAGATCACCATTTTCATCCCCATTTTCTTTGTGAAATTTCTCTAACACAAATTTTTGCACTTTAGCGTGCTTGTGTACCCCCTACACCAATATCAGATTCCATGGTCAAGCTTCAAGTACAATATTTTCGTGCATCATAACACAACTTAGTTTTGTAGTTCAGGGATAGCTACCTTTTACTTGTTCTCATATTTTGACATAAGAGAAAAATGCAGTTTTGGTACTCAAACTTTGACACATGAGCGGTTTTAGGCTCTAAATTTTGGACGAAAACAAATTTGGTACCCGAACTTTCAAATTTTGGGCACATTTAGTACCCTTGACGATTTTACCCAAATTGCTACCGGAAAAAGTCATGTGACAGTCACATGTCCGGCTACTATTGTATAAAAAATGTCAAAAAATGTCAAATGTCATTCTAATACTATGTATTAAGTTTAACGACTAATAATGTAATAAAAAAAAACCTAAGGACTAAATAACATCACATGAGTTGTATTACAAATATATCTTTCAACTCATAATTTTATCTTCCTAACTACCTTTTCATTTCACATACGCATCACAACAATTACTATAATAATTATTCTAAATAATATTCAAATAATTTCCTATCCAAGCACATCTTGCTGCTCTTGTTTGATTTGAATTTTCCATGGTTTTGGAGCTATTCATCTTTTCTTGGAATTCGGGACTTTGACCTTGTAAAATTGTAAGTTATATGCCGCCATGGCTGCGAATTAAAACCTTAGAAATATGTGGTTGCGTACACTACAAGTTAGTGTGTTTGGATAGAGTATTATTTAAAATATTATAGAAATAATTATTGCATTATTTTCTGTAATGTAATAGATATATGAGATAAAAAAAGATTGGAGATATAAAAAATAAATTAAAAAATAAATTTATAATACAAGTGAAATATTATTTGAAAAAGAAGAGAACCCGAAGCTCGAAACGGCCGGCTGCGTACAATACAGGGAAGCTTGTAGCTGTCACGTCATGAACTTCATAAATCGCACTGTCGAAAATTGGACCGGAAAATGTAAAGTCTGACTTTGTAATTGGAAGAAAAAAAAAGCACTTAATTTAGATCACCAAACTATTAAGTAAATATGTATTTATGTAACCTCCCCCGTAACAAGTATGGTGGGTTACTAGACTATTTTAAATATGTTTAGCTCTTGATTTGGTGTTAAAAACAACTAATATGGTTGAAACATCTAAAAACACCTTAAAATGACTCAAAACATCCAAAAAGAAAACACATCATAAATACCATAAAGAAGGAAAAAAAGCATCCAAAAAATATGTCAAAACAAACATTACTGTCCATTTAACTCTCTGCCACCGCCCTCACCTCAGCTTTATTGCACAGTAACAATCTTATGGAAAAAGTATCGACAGGGCATCACATGTGAGACTATTGTGCAAATATTTTAACTTTAACTTGTTTAAATATGTGCAAAAATAGTATTTAGATCCACAATAATGATATGGGCTTGTTTTTAATTGATTCAGAGTTTGTAGAATTGGTGTTCGAAATAATAATATTTAGATTAACTCACGTTTTCTCGTTTACTATTAAAAAAGCTACTCTAATGAATTGGTATGTGTTCTCAAAAAAAAAAAAGTTGAAAGCTGATTTTGATAAAATCGATGACAAATAGTCATTATGTGCTACATAACTGAAGTTTTTGCTAATCAAATAATTTTGGGAATTTCGCCAATTAGGTCCCTAAACATTTTCACTTAAATCAATTTCGTCCTTCATTAAATATTTTAACCAATTTAGTCCCTGAACTAGTTTTTTACTTTCAATTTAGGACTTTTTACTACATTTTACTCAATTCACGTGGACCAAAGGGGTATAATTGTCACACTGGCTTAATCTACTGCAATTATCCACCGAAACGGATTAGATATCATTATCCCGCCCATGCGATTATCGTTGGAAGTTCACTTTTCCCTTTGTCCTCAAAGCTTGCTCCAAATTACGTCAAATCCCTCTTGGAGAACAACTCCACGGACTAGTCTGGAAGTTGGGTTTTGGGCCAGATATGCATATAAGCAATACATTGATTTATATGTATTCAGCTGGTGGTGTTCCGGACCTTGCATTCACGGTGTTTGATAAAATGCTCGAGAGAGATGTGGTGTCTTGGACTTCTATAATCGATGGGCTTGTGGATAATGATAAACCCGTTAAAGCTATAGCTTTGTTTGAGCACATGTTGGAAAATGACGTTGAATTTAATGAAGCAACGGTTGTTTCGGTTCTTAGAGCTTGTGCTGATACTGGTGCTCTTAGTATGGATAGAAAAGTTCATGATTTGGTTAAGGAGAAGAAGCTTATTAGTTTGAACGGTAAAGTTAGCACGGCTCTCATAGACATGTATGCAAAATGTGGGTGCATAGATGGTGCGAAGGAGGTATTTTCTGAAACAATGAACAAAGATGTTGTTACATGGACTGCAATGATTGCTGGCCTTGCCATTCATGGGCAGTGTAAAGAGGCTACGGACTTGTTTGATAAGATGAAGGGTCTTGAGATAAAGCCAGATGAGAGGACATTGACTGCACTTTTATCGGCTTATAGGAATGGGCATATGGTGAGCGAAGGCTTGGCTTGCTTCAGAACTATGAAGAATAAGTATAAGATCAGGCCTAAAATGCAGCATTATGGTTGTGTTATAGACATGCTTGCTCAAGCTGGGCATTTAGATAATTGCATGGACGGGATAATGATATCTAATCCGTTTCGGTGGATAATTGCAGCAGATTAAGCCAGTGTGACAATTATACCCCTTTGGTCCACAAGAATTGACTAAAATGTAGTAAAAAGTCCTACATTGAAAGTAAAAAACTAGTTCAGGGACTAAATTGGTAAAAATATTTAATGAAGGACGAAATTGATTTAAGTGAAAATGTTTAGGGACCAAATTGGCGAAATTCCCAATAATTTTTTAGTGTAAATAATTATTTTGTTATAAAGATTAAATATTGGATGAGGAACGAGGGGGACGTAGATGAATTTGGGAGTCGGATGAGAAATGAAAGAAAATGGAGAAAGGCTTGCAGTAAAAGAAGTTATCTAATCTTTAGTAATTATGTTAAAATTTGAAGAATATTTTTGTTTGCATGAAAAAGCAAAAAAGTATGTTGGAATTAGAATCCACAAGCAACTTAAGACCTGTTTCTGATATTCAACTTTTTGGAACCAATTAAAAAATTAAAATGAGGTTTTTAAAATCAATTGAAAACATATAACTAAAAAAATTTCTCTATCCCTAAATCTACATCATCCTCATTTTCTCTAACATATAACAATTCTTTATATAAAAAAATTCTCCTCTTGTTCTCTAGCTTTCTCTCGCAAACAAAACATCTTCCTCTTGGAAGGACAACAGTTAGTCTCCCTTCCTCCCATGATTTTCTTTCTTTTTGTCTTGCGTGCGTGTAATAAAGTGTCTTTTAGGATTTTCTAGTTAGAGTACCATCTCTCCGAAGGTTCTCTAGTGATAGTTTTCTCCTCTTCTAGCATTACATTTGTCGTCTCTTAAGAATTCCTAGCGTGAGTTTTTCAGTTTTTCTATTTATTTTATTAGACATAATTTTTTTTCAGATTTAGTTGTCAGGTTTAAAATTTTTTTAGGTCTATTTCCTTAGATCTTAACATAGAATATGAGTTTGAAACACTTAATTAGTAGGTTTGGGAGTTGAAAGTATGCATAAATGTTCTTGGTCTACTCGTATTTTAGTTGACTTTTGAGATTACAGTGTAATTTTTTATTAATTTTCTAGGTCTATAGTATCTATTCTTTAGATATATTATATATGTATACGTCTAAAATAAGTTTTACCATTAGGCAAATAGATGAAATTATAAAAAAACTGAAGAAATAATTTTGTATTCATAGCGTCTAATGCATCAATTTTTTAAGCACATCTATGAATATAATTCTAATTAGTAATGTATATGTAGATGATAAAATGTTATCCAATGCCATGGTTGAATGGAGGAACTTGTGGTGATTCAGGTTTTAAATCGTTAGCCAAACTCCGTTGGACCAATTGGGAGTTCTTTTCCAGTTGAGATTTCCATTTCTCTTCAGCTCCGTTTGGGGTTACAGTGTTTTTGGTAAAAAAGTATTTTTAGGTATTAAAAGTATAATTAAAGTGTTTAGTGAATCTCATCCCACAAAAATTAGGAGTGAAACTTGTGGTGTTAAAAGTACTTTTAGCAAAAGATCAAATTTGATGCTTTTAGAGTAACTTTTGTGATTTAAAAATTAAAACGTCAAATTTAATCATTTTATCATATATTATGAATCAAATAAAAAGATAAACGCTTCTAAAAATTTTTAATTACACATTATCCAATACAATAAATACTTATTGAACTATGTTTTCAAACAATATATTTAAAAGTAGTTAAGCAGTTAATAAGTATTTTTATTAAAAATCTTATTAGAAAATACTTTTCAATAAACTATCGCAACTCCAAACAGCTCTTAGTCTAGCATGGATAATTGCATCGACTGCCCAAAAAAACAAAAAGATAAAATAAAAGAAAGCAGCTAATAATTTTCTAAACAAGAAAGCCAAGACGAAATTCTCTTCGCACCCTCTATGGACATCTTAAAATTAAGGTAGAACAAATAAGAGTTAAAAAACAAGGAACTTCAGAAAGAGAGAATCACGACTTTGTGTGGCACCTCATATATTTGTGGCGTCCAAACAGTAGAGAGAATCCCGAGTTTGTGGGGCACCCATATCTTCCATTTCTGGTTTCCACAAATACAAAGAATCTGCACCATACTTAGCTCGCACCTTTCAATTCTCAATTTCATAGGATTACTATTTTGGTCCAATTTTCAAAGGTTCTCGTACAGTCCAATTATCAATCACCAGTTATAGGTGGCCACTAGTCCCTACTTGGGTTGCAGGTGGGGAGTTCAAACTCCACCTGCAGCAAAAAAAATTCAAATGAGGTGTTATAGTGAGGTGAGGGGATATTTAATAAGGGTTTATTTTACATATTTTTAAGTGCATTTTATTAGTTAATTTTAGCATAGTTATTAAACCCAACCCGGGAAGGAACCCGGCGAAGGGGATGGGTCAACGGGTTACTGGTTCGACCGGTGGGTGAGTGGTTGAACCGGTGGGTCACTAAATATATTTAAATATTATATTTCATAATTTTTTATATAAGATATATGATATAAATTGTAATAAATAATGCCATAGTAAAAGCTCATTTAATTTAATTTGCTATAAAATAATTAATTCATATAAGAATTAATTAAAAATAAAGTTATTTAGTAATACACCAAACTTCAAGTGTAAAATTTTATCTATATTTAGTGTAATAATGTAGCTTATTTATGAATTTTAAGTGTAAAAAATTATTAAATTAATATTTATCTTTGAAATGAATTATGTAATGTGTTATTTTTGAAATTCATTTTATAAATTATAGAGTTTGGAGGGTACTAATTTTTATTAAAAGATTTCAAATAAATTTATTTTAGAGAAAAGAAAGATAGAATTGAAAAAACATATATATATTATAATAAAGACCTTTTATTAACAAATTTCGGAGTAGCTTAGTGGTAAGCATGCATTGTTGATTGGTGGAGGTCCAAGGTTCGAGCTTTGACAAAGGCAATAAAATTTTTTCACAAAAAACGGGCCGGGAACGGTCCGTGGACAAACCCGGCCGGGTTTCCGGGTTAGCCCGGTCCGATCGCCGGGCCGTTGACTAGTCAACGGTTCCGTAGCCCAAACGATCTAATTTAAGACTCGGCCCGGCCCAATGACCGGTTGACCGGTTCGACCGCCGGGCCGGGCCGGGTTTAATAACTATGAATTTTAGTTTGATTATTTAGTTTTATAACTAAAATAACTAAGGTTTTGGTAAAAATCTACATTTTATGTTAAAGTGCCTAACATTGCATTTCCATTGATTTTAATGGTAAAAACTTCATTTTCATGCAGGATTAATGATTCAATTAATGATTCAATCACCAAAGGATGTCAATTGAGGAGAAAAGTGGATAATTGGTGATGAATTTAAGTGATAAAAGAAGAAATGAAGTGAATTGAAGAAATGCAAGTGAAAACAACTTTGACACATTTTTGTATTTTGACTATATCTGGAGCTACACATATTGGATTGAGGTGATATTTATGCTATTTTGAAACTAAGAGATAGATCTAAATTTGGTATGAAACATCAAAGTCCAATTTAGTCGTTTTCTCAGTAAAAAAAAAACGAAATACTAAAGTTCAACACTGCTGTCCAAAGTTGAAAATAGAGCTATGACCAGGCTTTGGTATTTTAGTCATATCTTGGTCCACGGAGTTCCAAATGGGATGATTCTTAAACATTGTAAAGCTAATTCAAAGGGTTACAACTTTTGTATTTTGCAGAAAAGCTAGTTCGGCCTCCATCATAGAGAAAATTGTAGTTGAAGTGAGGCAAAAAACACAGAGTTGAAAACGCGAGTCAACAAAACGTGGCATGAAGCCGCGTTTTGTCAAGTCGCGTTTTGTAGCCGAAATTCTGCAATTTGCTTTAGCCATTTCTCTTATGTTCACACCACTTTCCAGCTATTCTTGGTAAGGGAATTTGGCTGCACATACTTTAGAAGACATAAGGAAGAGGTATAGCCAAAGTTCCAAGTCAAAAAGCCATTGTATTTTACTATCTTTACAAAAGGAGATTTGAAGAGTCATAGCAGAAAATTTGGACTGGTGAGGAGAGGAGCTTTTCATGAGTTTATATGCAGAGACATTGGGAGGTTTGATTATTATCATACGGGAGAAAGTTGAGGAGTGCAGAAATATAGTTCTTCCATTTCCTTAGTGTACAATAATTTTAGCTAGTTAGTTCATCTTTCTTGTATGTTAGCTACATGAAGAAGAAGATGGAGGATGAAGAAGGCAAGGAGATGAACTCATGTGACAGGGGTTACATTCCTTCCAAATTCTTTATCTTTTGTACTTGATTCTATTGTTGGTTAATATACAAGTCTAGATTTTATGTTATTTATGTGTTTCTAAAGTTTATGCCTAGAGTATGGATGAACTTTTTATATTTTGTTAGTGATGTTTATTTCGTTATTTGGTGATATTATTTTGAGAAAATTATTTATTACTTTTGAAATTCTAATCATAATTAACTGGTCATTAATTGTGATTATCGAGGGTGTTAAATTTGCAATGAAAATTGAAATTTAACACTAGTTCAAGGAAGTGATAAACATCGGAAGTTCACTCACGAAAGTAGAGGTGCACCTATGTGGCTTAAGTGACTTGTTTCATGTAATTTCATAAAAGGATTGAACTTGTAGTTAATTCATAACCACGAGAGTAGGTATGATTTAGTTACAAGTATAGTTGATTCACTACGAGAGTAGGTTTTACATACATGAGGAAATTACGCCATAACTAACCAAGATAATAGCATTCACTTAACCAGTTACTTCACTTGCAAGTGTGGTAAGGGATTCCATATCTCTAAGAGATTTCTAGTGTTATTTTCATTAATTTTATATTTCTATTAGTCTAGATAATAAAGGAGCTCAAAAAACAACGGTAATTGCAATCTTCTCTGTGGGATCGATCTTTAATACCCTATACTCACTCATGATTCGTATACTTGCGATAAATCGCGTGTGGGGTATTTAGGAGTTTATAAATATAAAACTTGATTGGGATGAGCTTAATATTATATGTATACACTGCTCATGTCAAGTTTTTGGCACTGTTGCCGGGGAAT